GGTGCCAGGGTTTTACTTTCAGCAGATCCAACACTGGAGAGCTTACCCAGGTAGCTTCGTGTCATCAAAACAACAGCTTCACGATAGGATTTCTCAAAACCTAAACTCGCCAGGCGAGAAACAGCATCAAGAAGCTGCAGTAACTCAACAAAGAAAGGTTGAGAAACCATGCGACAGACTTAATTTGACACTCAGACATTTGAATGATAAATTCAGGAGAAACTAATTTCAAAATCGTAAGCACATGAAGCATATAACCATATTAAATACATGCTTGAGAGAGATAAGTTCATACTCGGAGTCGCAATAAGCCAGGAGTCGAAGCATCGCCCTCTTCTAGACTTTCAATAAAGAGTGGTAATATCATATCCACCAATTCAGGCTTCTTAACAATAAACATTCAGGTCAGCTAGTAAGCGGATAACATTAAGCTGCACAACGGAACTGCCTGCTTTTCTTTCCCCTCCTGAAATTGTATACACAGTGCTGATTACAAAAGGTAATTTAATAAAAGAGGGCAATAATTTAGGGACAACTGAAAAACAAGAGTCAATCACTGAAACCACTAAATAGAATCAAGTAATATGATGCATGATAAATCAAGTAAATCCATCCACCAAAGAAAGTAAGTAAACAAACGTTTTGAAGACACCGCTAACTGAACAGGAAGTGGTAAATGGCAAGTAAGCTTAATCTACCATCAGCTAGCTAGTTAAGTAACATATGCACATGTTGAAGATCAACCTAGACGTGTGAAAAATTGAAGTAATGACACTTTAAGCAAAGGGAGCAATGATATAAGCATATGCAAAAGCAACAATAGTCCTCCAACTTCGATACATTACAATTGATCACATAACCATAGAAAAGGATACACGCAATGTGTATTATCCTTCTATTTGCATCCATGCATACACACAAGTGCATGCACAAAATGTGAGTTTATATGCGCACATTATTTCTTGGCTTCGTGTCATGTGTTTGCCAATCGATAAGTCTACAAACAGAAACATAACGCTAACCTCTTCCTCATAATCATTTCGTTCACGAATACTTGTAGCTAATCCCATTAAAAGTGTCCACAGGAGACCGGTCCTTGCTCCATCCGAACTCGATTATCTCACAACTTGTCTTCAAAACACTCTCGAACATGGCACCCTGGCTGCTGCCCCAAGTGTCTGCCTGTTCGAAAAAATATATATATTACAAGGAAAGTTTACCCAAAAGTGAAACATATTGCAGAATCATATTACCAAGATACGCCCCAGCTGCAGGAGATAGCCCAAAGCAAACAAATAATGTACCTGAGCACATGTACTTAACACAAGGGGTTTGAAGCGAATGAGCAAGACACGCATCAGCTGACCACCACGAGTGAGAGCAATTTGGGAAATCCCAACAAGCAACGAGCTGAAGAGCTCTTCACAAATTCTCAACTTTCGCCAGACACAGAATAAACATGCTTCAGCAGCTTCTATCAACAATGCCAAAGTTCCATGCAACAACCTCTTCGATGACTTCCCATCCAAATCAACAGATGAAAGACTCTTGATTTGTAACCTGGCTGCAGCTTGGTAAACCGACAGCTTTGTATTGATTCTAACTTTTAGTAACTGTCCCTGTTCCGTCCAGTCACGCTTCCTTATCTGCCAACAAAACCAAACATTTTAACCAGCTTTTTCGTTCATCTATATAGTTTTTTCATCAAGACATCAATAAAACACGAAACCAATAGGATCGATACCCCTAAATTTTACCTTTAGGAAAGCCAACATTGATTGGAGTTGCTCCTTTGCTATGGCCCTCACTTGTTCCAAAAGCTTAAGATCAATCTGGACTTTATCCAATATGTGCCCAATCAGCTTGAAAGCAATCTCCTGTTGTTGAATGCTCTCCACAGGCTCTTCCTCAAAAGAGGCTACCACTCGCTTGTACGTCGAGGAACCGCCTCCTCCTCCATCATTGAACCCAACACCAGAACCAAATATATCCACATTGCTCTTCCACGCAAGGCTGCCCCCATTCATCACCAATCCTTTCGACGACGATGCACTAATCGCCTCATCTGTAACCCTTGAAGCCTCACCGCTCGAAGAACCAGAGGCATTGCTGACCTCATTTCCTGGACTGGCTCTCTCATTTGATTGATAATGGTTTGCACTGAGCGGCGAACTCTGAAACGATGACGCTTCAGGTGTTACCGAAACTAGCTCCCTCGGTGAACTAGGAACTGAAATTTCAAATCGATCTAGAAGAGTGGACACTAATTTGTTTGCATCGGAAGGAAGAATTGGAGGAAAATTCTGCGACAGAGCATTCAAGAAAACCCTTGAAACCCCCACATCTCCACTGACATTGTAAATCGCCGACATCACAATCTCTCCCGTATACTCCGCAACGGCCATGGCAAAATCCAAGGACAACTCACTGGCTATATTCACATAACTCAAGAAATCGTTAAAGAACGAAGCGATTGAATCGCTTCCAAACGACTGTGGCCAAAAAGATTGGGCGAAAGAATACGGAATCAAACGAAAAAAACCTAGGACTGCCGATTTGGGTCTCGTGTCGTCGAAATTTGGGCATTTAGAAAGAAATCTAGCGGTGGCGAGAACTGCATTAAGCTGTGACCTCGAAACCCTCAAAGATCCGGCAGGAACAGAGTCAATTGGTGGACATCGGCCACAAATCCAAGCCAATTTATCAGCAAACTGCGAAGGATTTTGAGCGATCAGATCGCAGAGTTCGATCAACGACTCCATTGCTTGACAATGCTGAATCTTTTCGGAGAGAGGAGAGAGAAATCAAACAAACGGAGGTGAAGAATTGATGTGGTGGTAGAATTTAGGGTTTACGGAGAGACGATCGCAGACGGAGGGGTACTCGGGAGGTTCGATGCCGTCCCGTTCGCTGCTCTTCTTTCTGTGAATTTCTGATTTTATAGAAGAGAACTGCCGTTGGCTGTGTCGCTGATGACGAGATCTTTGGTTTTAACGTCTCTGATTTTGTTTCCTATTTGGATAGCCTTTTAATTTATCCGCTCCCGATTTGATGAAATTTGGAAACCAAATCAAACTTCACCTTCAAGTTTTCCAATTGACCGTTTGATTCAATTTTTATTACTTGAAGATAAATGAATTAGATCGTTAATTAAGTTTTTAAATTAAATATAAATTATATTTTTATATTTAAAATTGAACACTAAATGATGAATATTGAATCTATTAATTCGTAAATTATTTAATTTTTATAAAAATTTAAGTATTAAATTGAATCAAATTGGTCGATTAATACAAAAGCTAAATTCTGAAAATAAATAATTTATTAGTTTTATCATTCTACAATTACTTTGAAATTATTTGTCAAATATACATTTACCAAAATAAAAACCATTCAACTAAAAATAATTCATAACATAAATTATGATAACAAACATTAATAAAATTAATTCAAGTTGAATTCATCAAATAAAAAGCTTTCAATAGCCAATATTTTTTAAAATTACAATTATGATACAATCACAATTTTAGAAATTTATTAACTTAATTTATTATAGTTATTAGATTAGTTATAAGTCACAATATTCGGTAGAACTAACTTTTAATTTGAGGGTCGTAATTGATTAAGTCCTCAAACTAAGTTTAAACAACATTTTTTTCTTTTTTTGGGTCTCTATACTTGGAATCGAGCATTATGAGTTAATGTTTTACTATTTTACAAATATGTTTAATACAAATTTGGGATGGTAGCTTCTAATGAGTTTATTTTTGCTAATATATTTGGTATAAATTGTTTTTAAACCAGAAAAAAAAATGGAAGTTAGAAAGGTAGTAGAGGGGACACTATAATAATGGGGCATAATAGAGAATATTGCATGGCACTGGTGATTGAAATGAAAGCATAAGTCAGAAATTACTACCCAAACATGATACTAAAAAGTGTGCTAGTATATATAGAAAATGTCTTTTTTTAATCCCAAAAAAAAAAAAAAGAATAAAAAATTATTAGAGGGAAATGAAGGGAATACTCGAGGAAATTAGTATTGGACTGTCGTGGAATTAGGCCTATCAATGGATCAAGTTTAGATCAGATTTTAATTGATCTAAATTCAAATTTAAAATTCAATTTTAAAAGATCAATCCAATAAGTCGATGAATTTTATTTTTCGCAATTCATAAGTGAATCTGTTAACAATTCGGAATCCAACCCAAAATCAGATCCGATATGAGCAATTTAATTAACTATATTTTAATAAATTATATCTAAACTTTTCTAAATAATCACTTAATTTTTTTAAATATTTATATTTATATAAAAAATATATATAAAAATATTTTGAATCGGATCATAAACAGGTCAAATACATGTATATCCAAATCCAAATTCATGAAATATTATATATCAGATTTGGATTAGAATCCAATCAATTGATAGACCTACATGGAATGAAAGCGTCACTAAGAAAATTGGGACACTATTGAAAAATTATAGAACTAAAACGGTACTGGTAAATATGTGAAAAAACCTTGATGGTGAAATTGAGGGTTCCTAAAATTTTAGGATAAATCACGAAAGTTCTTGAGATTTATTATTAGTTGTGCTTTAATACTCAAAATTCTAATTTTGTTAGTTAAGAAGATAACAACAATAAACACATGACAAGCCTTGAAGGGGATTTATTATTATTATTATTTGGAAAAATTTCAATCACACCACCTCTATTTTACTATATCTTCAAGAACACCCCCTCTAATTTTTAAATCTTCAATAACACCTGTATCAAATTAAAAATATTAAATAGAATGTAATTTTACTAAATTGTCCATGATATATTTGAGTACAAACTTCATCTACACCCCCTCTAGATAAACATATCTTCAATGAGACCCCCTCTAGATAAGTATATTTTCAATAAGACCCCTTATGTTTTCTAATTTTTTTTACGTAATTAAATTCGAACTGATTAAAATTCGATTTAAGCTAATTAAAATTAATTTTTTTACATATTAAAATTTGTGTCAATTAAAAATTAAATTTTTTTTACATATTAGAATTTGGGTTAATTAAAATTTTGTTTGAGCTAATTAAAAATTATTTTTAATCGACTCAAATCAAAATTTAATTAATTCGCATTGAATTTTAATCGGCTCAAATTTTAATATATAAAAATATATGAATTTTAATTGACTTAAATTTTAATAAATATAATTTTAATTGACACGAATTTTAATAAGTAAAAAAATATAAATTTTAATCGACTCGAAAGAGAATTTTAATCAGCTCTAACAACTCGGTTATAGTTCAAATCAGCTCAAATTTTAATATGTAAAAAAAAAATTAATAGGCTCAATTTTTTTTTTAAATTTACGAATTAGTAAATAACAAATTAGTATTTACTAACAAATTATTTACTAAAATTGTTATTTATGATTTTTTAAAAAAAATTAAAAGCTTGAATTTTAATAATATTTTATGTAAAAAAATTACTTGAGGTTATGTAGGAGCATTTTTGGTATTTTAGATGAATTTTTTTTGTTAGAAATAGTAGTTTAATTGTAGGGAGTGTTAGTGATATTTAAATTAAATTAGAAGGGGTGTCATTGAAAATTCAGAAATTAGATGAGGTATCCGTAAAAATATGATAAATTAGAGAGGGTGTCGTTGAAATTTTTCCTTATTATTTTTATCTGCATCAAGGCGAAACTGAGGTGCTTACTTTCCAGGAGGTAAAAAAAGAACGAGGTCTACCGGTAATTCTGCAATAGTACTTGCAGTTTTATATTTTTCAATTACATTCTCAAAGTTCATGTATTAAACTAACGTGGTCCTTAATGTTGATAGCAACTTGCACTTGGGGGAAATTAAGGGCAACGTTACTTAGACTTTAAAAATTGACACTATTTAAATACTATATTATTCATTGTCATTGATTTAATTATAAGTTACAGTATTTATTAGAACTCACTATCTATTCAATAGTTATAAACGATGGAGTCAACAAACAGTAATGTTACCATGACCAAATTTTAGAACTAAATTTGCAGCTTCACAAATAAATAGTCTCAATTTTTGGAGTAAAAATACCATTTCCCATAAACTAAATAGACTACCACTTCACTTCTTTTCATTTCGAATAATATTATTTAAATCTTAAAAATTTGATTTAATTTGCTGATATGATGATGTGGTTTCATAAGAATTATTAGATCAACATCAAGTTCTAATGATTGATGGGATCTATAGTCAATCTAAAAGTCACAATGAATTAGGTCAATAAATTATATCACAATAATATTGTGCTTTCATTTCCTACGAAGCACGGATACTTCGTTGAGGTTGACGTACCTGTATCGGATATCGTATCAGATACGATACTCGTCGGATACTCGATGATACGTATCGGATACACCTTCTACGTATCCGATAATAATTAAATATTCAAATTTTTCACGGATATGTTTATAGTAGAGCAACATGTATAATTTTTTTATTGAACTTTTAACAACTCTTTTCGAATTCACATACTATACAATACATTAACAAAAATTTCATATTACTTCCAAGCCACATGAGTGTTTTTTAAGTATTATCTACAATTAAATGCCAAAAAGATCATATAGTAAAACTATTACATTATAATCTTAGTAAAAATTACTTCTAAATACTAGGTAAATATTAGTTTTGATTCTTTTAATTAGTCACTTTCCTTTGGAATATACCCCAGCGACACGATATATATTTTCTTGAAACTAAAAATAATTATTAATTTTTCTTATTATATGTTAAAAAACAACCAAAATATATAAGTGTTAAGTTAGTTGAAAATAATAAAAATATTAAATATATTTTATTATAGTCGTATTCTGGTCGTACCCGTATCCTATTTTTTTAGACTTTATCATATTACCATACCCGTATTTTGTATCCATATCCATGCATCACATTTCGTTTCTAATGTTGCACTAATTTTCAACCCCATTAAGATGCACTAAGCACACTGGTCCATTGGCCCTTATGATGGTCATTGTTCAGGTCTGACATCTCTCTTTTCCTCCCATGGGCGTCCAAGGAGACCCAATTTAACTCAAAAGTGCATATTATTTTTTTTCAAATTATCTAAAAAGTCTGAGATAAAAACAATCCAATCAAAATTAAACTTCAAATTGGGGTGGGGGAGAGGATGATCACCCCAACCAACCACCCCCCCTCCCTTTACCCTTCATCACTTGTATAAGACCAATATTGGTGTTTTTTTTTCTAAACGGTTAAAAGTGTCTAGATCAACTTAATTATGTGCAAGACCAATATTGGTGTTTTTTTTTTAAACGGTTAAAAGTGTCTAGGTCAACTTAATTATGTGCATCTTGATTAATCTTTTTTCCAGTTCGGTTAAAGGTAGGCCACCTACGCCAAGAATAGGGGATTCACGAGAGATTTATGATCCCAATGAATTGTCAAGATTCAAATTTTGAATTTACAATTCATTTCTATTATCACTTGAGCTATCCTATTAACCCAACAATATATGTATTTAGCAAGGCAAAAAGGCCGAGAACGTTGACAAAAAGTTCCTTACCTTAGTCAAATTGTAGAAGCATTGAGATATTGCATTCCCTGCTCATTTATCTTTGCCAAATTCAAGTATTTGAATGTGTTAATGAAATTATCAAGATAACTATCACTCAACCATTGGAACTGATTTAGAATTGGTGTTAAAAAATGTATTCGACTCTAAAGAAAAGGATAACTTGTATCCAAGAATCCCGTTATTGTAGGATTTAAAATGCCATGTTGTATTCGACTCTATCTTGTTTAGGACCTTAATGGTGAATTTCTATAACAAAAAAACATAACGAAGGGCTAGAAAGCCGAGAAGGCTGCATTGAAATCAAGATGTCTATTTCAATGTAATTATCGAATTGAAAGGAGTTTCATTTAATATTGAAACTTACAACTACTATAGTGATAACAC